TGCAATATTTATGTAATACTCACAGTAGGCCTCCAAACATCTATATCATGATTCCCAAACATTCTCACACGCTCCTTGTTGTGACAGGGGCTGTCTGTCCTCACACACCCCAACCAAAAAAAGATTGTACGTTAACTTGGCAAGAGCTAGAAAACCAAATATACAAGCCCCATAACCTTAGTAGATGTGTGCAAATATAGCGGAAGCAAGGCGGTGTACGAATGAATGTTATATAAGATCGTTATCTCTTGATAAATATTTCATGAATTCAAACTGAAGCCACGTGACTAATAATCCCTCCTCGCAGCAGATTGTGCATCAGAAATACTCAAATCTCGGTGCAAAAGTTAGCGTAATAATGTACACATGTTCCAGGCTATTAATGCGAAAAGCTCGTAGGAGAGGAAATCTGTTACACAGGTATTGCAGCGGCCAATTTTACAAACATTTCTGACTTATAATGTATCCCAGCTGTTCCCCGCTCTGAATCACTAAAAAACCCACACAATAAAAGAACCGGAAAACGCATGTTGGAATTCCATCTCCCTTGATAACACAGTCATAGCCCAGCACAAACAAAATATACACCAATGCAACAGAAAAACATACACCATGCAAAACGTTTCGGATAAATATTTGCATTTTGAAAATAAACATCTTTTATAGAGCCCGTCTCTGTTTAGTGCACTTGAAATGACAGTTTATATAATTTATACACTTTGAGATTTAACCTGACCATATTGTTATCTTAAGAGAAAGGCCATGTTTATATGCTGTTCTTGTTCTCAATGGAATGCTTAAGCACGAAAGTGTAGTTGACATGTTTAGATACAGCTTATATTATTTTAGCATCAGCCGTGGACCATAACTTTAAAACATTTAAACTATGTCTCAATTGTTTCACACCACAAAAATATGAGAGTTTCCCATTCATGTTGTAAATGAATGTCAGTGATGCTTTTAATGAAAAACTTTCTACTTTTTGTTCAACCCTGTACAGACTTCATGTTTCTTAAACAAATTTGCGAAAAGAATATTTGAAAAAATACATCTCCTTGTCATATCCTTATTTTCCCATTAAAAATATATTATTTGAAATTTGGTTTCTAAAACTGAACTTAACCTGTGTGCAGAACCCAAGGAGACATAAATGTTTTCCCAAAATCTTGAAATTTGATCAGAAAATTGGACTCACATGAACGGTTCAAAAGACATGAATGGAATCTCACACTGGAGGTAACGACCGAATATACACAAACACTACCTTCACACACAAGCGTTTTCAACTCCCAATGTGCTGCTTGGTAATCATTTCAAGCGTAGGTTAATACCGACCCAAAAACTGATTTTCTTCTGACAAAGGCCCATTTAAACCAACAACACAGAATCAAAAAGGCATAGACACTCAGCATTCTTTGAACTCATTTTGTGAATTCTCCATCCAGACATCAGTTTCATTTCAACTTCATCACTTGAGCTGTTGAACAATTTGAACGCTCTGAAATTTCAATTAAACTCAAAAATTCACTAGAAAATGCCATTGTGAACACATGTGGCAATATGGCCCTCTTCTCTTACCGATTTGAGTGCATTGTCAGCCATGAGCCCGATACCATATGGAACACGTGTTATTGTGGCAGGATTTGGGGACGATGGAAGAAAATAAACGTAATATTCTACTTCTGATGTCATCGCGATCTTGTTGTGACAAATACTTATCCAATAGGTCATCACATTTGCCAAAGTTAAAAATCCTTCATCAAATTTCACGTAAATACCATTTGTCTTGTAAGTTTATTAGATTAATGCAGTTTTTCAATTTCTTTCCCGTTTTGTATCATTTCCAGTTTTGTATCAGGCATAAGCCAATCTCCGTCTGCACTATGCATGCTATTTTGACGATTGACAAGAAATGTGGAGGCAAATTTAGAAAACACATGGATGTCAAAATTTTGTCTCCATAATTTACTGTGAGTATTTCCACAGGATATGTCACATATGTGCTCACGTCACAAAGTTCTAATACGCGACACGCACCTTTCTCCATTCTTCGTTAATGATCAATTCTATTCGTAAATACAAAATGCAAATTCCAGAGATATCTTTATTATCTGCAGAACAGATACCACCGGATATAACAAGCAAACTTGTGGTGGAATTTATGAATGGTTCACTGAAATTCAGTGACGACACCAGATGTTCACGAAAATAATTATACCAGACTTACAAAAACCTAGTCATTATTCAAAAAACTTCCAGAAGCTCATACGTCACATGGAATCCAGACAGCAATACAGGTACTTCAACGCAGCAGAAGAATTCTTGTCAAGCACCTCAGTCAGTGTGCCCCTTACACAACAGGAAGCCCAATGAAACACAAAACATGTCCCACGCAATTGGCCACTACTGGACACTTCTTCACAACATGACCTTGACATCGACAGAGGCAAGGTGTGGCCAAATAGTTAGAGCATTAGCCTGGCATGACTACAGCCCGGATTTGATTCCCACATGGGTATTACATGAGAAGCCTATAGGTATTTTCCCCCATGTAATAATCTCGGAACATTGCTGAAAGTGTTGAAAACAATACTTACTCACTTATTCCTGTTGCTTAATCGTAACAGTCCACAAATATGGAAACATACCTGGACTCAGTCAGTTGTTTTTTTAGAGTAGAAGAGCAGGTCAAACCATGATTATAAAAAAAATTAAGCTGAACTGACTTCAAATATATCCCAAATCTTATGTTTTAGTTCAACTTGATTCCTTCATGTGTGAATATCTGATAACTTCTCCACAGAAGTTGTTTGAGGTGAAATTTTATTCAGCCAATCCACATCATGGCTTCTAAAGTCTCGTAATGAATGAGCAAAAGATTCAAACTCACATATCTGATTTTGGCATCTCAAAAAAGAAAAATGACTGTAATCGGGGACATCAAATGCAGAAAATAGAAATTGTGGAAATATTATACATGTTTACTTTCCAAAACATAGTTCCATCAAAGGAATATTTCTGGGGGTTTTAGGTTTTCGTTTTGACAAACTGAAATTCCAAATTTAGGCACAAAAAATGAATCCAAATCATTTCGAAGGATACGTCTGAATGCCTGAAGAACCAGCTTTCTTTCAGGTTGGGCAGTGAAAGTTAACCAGGGTGTCCCTGACTTGACTGTCTATCTTAACACAGAGAGGCATAATCTAGGAATAAAGTATTTGATTGTGACTTTAGTGAGTTAGTTTAGTCTGACGCCACACTCAGCAATACTTCAGCTGTATGGCGGCGGTCTGTAAATAATTGAGTCTGGACTAGACAATCCAGTGACCAACAGCATGAGCATCAATCTTCAGAATTGGGAACCGATGACGTGTGTCAACCAAGTCAGCGAGTCTGACCACCGATCCCTAGATACCTCTTACGACAACCATGGGTCATGGAAGATCATGGGTCTTAAAATCTGTAGATCTGCAACTGTGATGAGCCATGTGAGCAGACTTACATCAGTGTCTGTTGTTACAGAGTCAACATAATGAGTTGCAGATTCTCAACCTCTTCAAATTTCAAACAGCTTTAAAGGTGCAGTTTCCACATTTCCCACTTTAGATAACAGACTGCTGCCTCATCAACCATCCAACTGCTGAAACTCAACACTGAACAATTTCCCAAACCATTTCAAGCATTAATATTAGTCCACGCATGTGCATATTACAAAATACATAAATTTTTAAATCTTATCAAAGCTCCGTTACCAGGATCCTGGAGAATTTCTGCAATATATAACTCTGAATTGATCCATCTGACTATCAAACTGCTTTGTTAGAATTTCCACCAATGTGCAGTTGATATGATGGGATGCTTATACAATTCCGCCACCACAATGCTGGCAGGTGCAGCTAGTTAAACAGATAAAACCCAGCCGCACTTGGCTTCACCGTGAATGACATTAGTTTCAACCAGATAAAAACAGATTTGTTTGAACTTGTGCAGATCTTCAAGTGCACAATCTTTCTTCAAGAAAAGTCAAAATCATCCAAAAATAACTAGAAATCCATTCACTTGTCTCGAATACGGTAATGTACACCAATGATAAAACATCCCAGTTTCAAGTATATCCAACTTTCTTCAACTTTATCCATTAAACTTCTTCCCACCAAGCTGAGTCTACACAACGTCTCTGTATGTCAAATACATACAATAACATAAAATGTTCACATACAGTCAAATTTTGACAGTCAAATTTTAAAACTGTTATGAATTGCAGGAATTTTTTTTAATATGGTCAGGGATAAAAAGAAGAGTAAATTCCAATCTGTTATCAGTGGTAGTCCAACTGCAGTCTTTGTAGATACTCAGCATGAGGCCGTCGATGACCATGTACCTATATGTAACCCCCTCCCCCTTCCCCAACACGTGCTCCTACTCCAGGGGGATAGCCAGATGAGCAGTGCCTGATAACACGGAGACAAACATCCCGAAATAATTATATCCTTAGCCCTGTAACCTTGAAACATTACCAAACATTCAAGACAAACATTTTCATAACTTCCCTCAAGACATTTGAAAAGAAATCTTCAAGAAAAACTTTAATCTTGTCTTTTACAAAAAGTAGTAACAGAATTGATGTGGAGAATGGGGAAAGTTATTCAATGCAAAGTCCCTCTGTGAGGTAAGGACATTTGCATGGCCACTACAAAAAGTTTTAACAGTTTTAAGTCCCAGTTACAGAATCGACAGAAGAATGGGGAAAGATTTCAATACAAAGTCCCTCTGTGAGGCATTAGTCTGACCAGTCATTGCTGCAACTTGAAGATGAACTGAAGGGTGTAATTGCCAACCCGGTCTCCCTTCCCCACTGTGTACAACAACAAGGGTGTTTGTGTGGCCGATAAGATGATGAAGGGTCATTTTCATCATTTCAACTGCATTCATAAATCATACCCTTGATAAACCCTTGATAATTACAACAGACAACATCTCGTTTATACATAAAGACCTACCTTAAACGTTGGACGGAAACGCTATAGGTAATTACTCCATGGTATAAAACACAGGTACCACACGTTAGCCGTCTGCTTTGCTTCAAGCTATCCCACAAAGCAACTGTTTTCTTGCACGTGAGTCCGGGAGAACACACTTCCTCTCCCAGCGCTATTAGCTTCGGCAGGCTCGTTAAAAGTCAGCTGACCGAAGCAGAGCTGTAAGGGAAAAACTTGGGTTACTTCCTTTACAACTGACAGAATTAGTATTTAGTTGCACCCTTGGTTAGCGGTGAATACCGGCAACATTTCTGGAGAATTTCACTACAATGTACCAGGTTAAATGGTTCGCCATCGATGTACTTAAACCGTCTTGCTTCCGTTCCTTGTTTTTCCCCGTCAGTTTGTCAATATCATCTGGCTGTGTAATGAATGAGAATGTAATTGGGAATTCATTTACAAAAGTGTTTTCATAATGGAAGATATTTTTTCAGATACCTCTTTCCTGTCTTTTTTAAAAATGAGTATCTGTGTATTGAGAAACATGTATTTATTCTATTCACTGGTCAAGGTATTACTGACATATTTTGTCTGAATGTAACAAAGAAAAATCGCATATTTCATGTTTAATAAATATTTAAATGAACACAATTACAATTGACAAAACTGGTTAATAATGTAAAACTACAGCCATGACTCTCCATGATCTCTTTAGTGGACAGATGGGGTGGAATTTGGCCCATATTCTGAGTGAAGTACAAAGGCTGACGCATGTTGCGTGCACCTTGGTGTATTTAGAACTCAATCAAAAACCCAGGAATTCTTCCAGAGGGCCAATTCCACTCACCCCCAAACCAGGGCAGGCCAGGAGTGTTATCCCAGAGCAGCGGCTTTGAGCTCGGTACCATGTGTTGAACACAAGTTCATTATCCAACATACCGAGTGACAATATGCCTGAGTTCACAGAACTGTGTGTGGGATAAAGGTGGAACACCCCACTGGGAGCATCCCACTTTGGCACCGAGGGGTCAGGTTTCTCTTTTTTTACCTCAGACTCTGGCAATTTTTTCACCCTTATCAGCGGTAGAATCAAATGAAAATCTTCTCAAGAAATCCAAGACTATTATTCCAGTTGAATGTAACAAGGGGTTACTTGGGGGAGTTTCAAATGGATTTGGTTCTGGGTGCTCCTTTTTTCCCCTCCTTTGAAAATGGAGTCTCCCATTGGCACCTCTTGAGGTACTAAATGTCTTTTTAATATTTGCCAGCCACAGCACTGGGACATATGGCTTAAATACATAACCTTGGGCCATAAATCATAATGTACATATGAACTCTTTCAGAGGTAGCCTGGATGAATTCAAGATGTTAAGATACATGCATAGTGTTGCCTGATTCATAGCACATTGTAAATTCAAATTATATTAATTTTTTAAATACACTTTCTTTCTTCTTCCTTGTTAAAAAGCTATAAACATCGTGATCAACAAAGACAAATGTAAAACACAAGCTCCTCTGTCGTTTTTACCTGGAGAACAGGTGTACAATTGAACCTAACATTGATTGATTCATTGAGTGAGTGAGTGAGTGAGTGAGTGAGTGAGTGAGTGAGTGAGTGAGTGAGTGAGTGAGTGAGGCTCCAGATTAAAAATCGTCTGCAGTGACCCTTGCTTGTAAGAGGTGAGGTGAAATTGGGTCTTACGTCATGCTTGAGAATATTTCGCTGATATGACGACGTGCATGCGTGTGTATGTGCGGCTGCTTGTACTAGCCCAGACTTAAGCTGGTTTTATAGTGCTAGCCCACTGAGATACCATGCCGCAGTGAAGCATGAATACCCCACTCAGACACAGTATACTGACTCCGAGCCGACCAGTCCTTGTTGTACCCATTAATGCCGAGCGCCAGGCAGGGACCAACAAGTACCATATTTTAACGTCTTTTGGTATGACGCGGTCGGGGATTGCTTGTAAGAGGCAACTAATGGGATTGGGTGGTCAGGCTCACTGACTCGGCTGATACATGTAATTGTATCCCAAATGCGGGGAGAACAATGCTCATAATGTTGATCACTGGATTGTCGGGTGAATTGCTGAGTGCGGCGTTAAACAACAAATAAACAAATCAAAGTGATGTAAGTCTGACCAGTTTATCTCCCCCGTGAGAGAGCAATCATATGCTGCTGAAACCCCAAGACCCTAATCATTACATGTCTGAGACTCAAACCTCCTATCATCAGCTTCTGGCATGACTTAGCAAGTCGTGCCCCCCTTGATAACCATCCCTCCTACAGAGCAAACTTCAATCACTTTTACACTCACTTAAATATTTGTCCACATAACTGACATAGCCCAGGTGAGACATGATCCCACCTCTCATAAGCTAATCATTTTTGGATAACACCACACATTCAAAGGCAAGCCCTCTGTGGGCGAGGGCGGTTTGCAGTGGAAGGAATGTGGCTCTCAAAAATCACCTGGCGACAATATGATCAGGAATTACAAGTAATGTTGGTCGTGTGTTTGTTGTCTGCTTGATAAGACAGTGTTGTGAAATATGCGGCATCACAGCGCAAAAAGCTACAGAGGTCAACAACAAGTGTTGTATAGATGAGATGCATGTGGTTCTCAAACACATGTAACACGTCTCTGTGTAACGGCAGGTCAGGGGCCACACAAAGGAATTCAATTTATTTAAAGTAGTCTTAAAGGGTGTTAAAAATCCATATAGGAGAGTAAGAGTTCATTTTGTCGTACTCTACAGTCAGCAAACATAAAGAGTGGTTATCAAGTCCATTGTTGAAGTCAGGACCAAACAATCCAGGGATTGATATCATGAGCAACAATATAATCCAAGGTGACAGGATCCGCTGACACCATGAACCAAGTCAACACTTGACCACCTAATTAAGGATGGTGGGGTAGCCTAGTGGTTAAAGTGTTCGCTCACCACGCCAAAGACTGGGGTTTGATTCCCACTTGAGTACAATGTTTGAAGCCCATTTCTGGTGTCCCCTACCTAAAAGTGGAATAAAACCAAACTCACTCACTCACTCACCTAATCCATTAGGTTGCTTCATACCATCACAGGTGGCTGGGAGCCACTTCTAACACAAATGGCAGTAGGGTTCTATAAGTATAGACCAAACATACCAGTGGTCGATGGTATGAGTACCCTATTACAGTATGATTACATGCCATCATGCCTTCTCCAACACATACAAGGCTGGATAGATATTGTGGCAACTTAAGGCATGTCAGTACAATTGGATATACAATAATATGCCACTAACCAAAACCAAACTGTAGTAGTGAAATGGGTCACAAAGACATTTTTGCCATGCTGAACAACAACCTTGACATTTGACATGCCTATTTTAAAAATAACTGAACAATTGAATCTAAAATATACAAGGTGGTTACACTGTTACCCTAATAATCTATTTCAATAGTAAATTAGTTAACTAACTAATAACACAGATCCCTAATCAAGGCATCCACCAGAGTTGGAATACCCGACACAGAGATGTTTAATAATTTGATAAAGGTTTCACGTGTTTTACGTCTGCTTCAATAACTTTCAATATCATCACGACACATTCATCAAGACTTAATCAAGCAATTTATTAATAATCTCAAAAAGAACTTAATTAAGGGAATGAATTATTGCGAAAAGAAAAATATTCTCAAAATATATTTCGAGCCCAAGGATGAAACAAGATTACACTTGAACACAGAAAGAAATAAGCCTGTGGTATTGGCGATCTGCAATACTTTCTGCATGGGTACATGACCCTTTAGCTCTTTCGCCAGCTTCAGCAGCAGACTCCCACAGTATGATGCAAATTTCATTCTAAAACATTATCTCAAGTGATCTACTCAATTAAGCGCAAATCAGAGAACATATTGAAGCCTTTTAAATCAATATCCAATCAGGGATTAGATAAAGCTCTGGAAAATTTCTGACCAATCAGACAAGACTTACAATCAGTTAAATCAAACTTGGATCTAAAGAAACGACCAATCATAGTCAATATGTCTCAAGAGCACCCGGACGTAAATCTTTGGAAATAAATGCCGGCCAGCATGAAACAGTTTACTTCAATCCAGCCATGCAGGAAATATTGGATAAAAATTAAATCATTTCAACATCTCAAAGAACTGTCGACTTTTGATCATAGGTGTGTAAAATCGAGATGAGGAAAGATGAATCAATAGTTCAGTTATCTGCAGACAACGATCACATAAGACTCATGTCGGATCTCTTAATTCCACTTGTACTTGTATCATATTAATGTCTCTTGGCTGAAGATTATCAACTTGGTCATATTCTTATGACAATACTGGGCACAATGTGTGAAGCCCATTTCTGGTGTCCCCCGCCGTGATGTTGCTGGAATATTGCTGAAAGCGGCGTAAAACCAAACTCAGTCAGTCAGTCAGTCTTATGACAATACACCTTCAAAAGCAAAATGGAACCAAATTTCAACAATCTTGAATTTATTATCACATAATAAATGATCCTAGTTTTCATTTTTATGTAAAAGAGTGTTACACACAGGCACACAAAGGTACACACAGACAGACACAGAGTCAAACATACATAGAGAGAGGCAGATAGACACACACACTTGTAAACACACACACACAGCATCAAACATACATAGAGAGAGGCTGATAGACAGACACACACTTAAAAACACACACACACAGACACAGCGTCAAACATACATAGAGAGAGGCAGATAGACACACACACGTGTTGTAAACACACACACACAGCATCAAACATACATAGAGAGAGGCTGATAGACACACACACACTTATAAACACACACACACAGACACAGCATCAAACATACATAGAGAGAGGCAGATAGACACACACTTATAAACACACACACAGACACAGCATCAAACATAATGAGAGAGGCAGATTGACACACACACACACACACACACACACACAGACACAGCGTCAAACATACATAGAGAGAGGCAGATAGACACACACTTATAAACACACACACAGACACAGCATCAAACATACAGAGAGAGGCAGATTGACACACACACACACACACACACAGACACAGCGTCAAACATACATAGAGAGAGGCAGATAGACACACACTTATAAACACACACACACAGACACAGCATCAAACATACATAGAGAGAGGCAGATAGACACACACTTGTAAACACACACCCACACAC